AGAAAGATAGAGTTTCTTCAAACAAATTTTTGATAAACGGGATATTTAGAAATGTTTGTTAACATGGATTTTTAGAATGATTCTTATTCATTTTCATATGAAATATGAAATATGAATTGTGATATTGTTAAAATATCTTTGTTTACAACAGCGATGTTGGTGATTTTAGATAAAACATTTTCTTAAAAAATCTTTTGGAAGATCTGAATAAATTGTATCAAAGAAAATAGTTGAATTAAAGAAATTATTTATTTAAGGAATAATAGTCAAGAGAAAACAAGAAATTTTGAACGTTTCATTCGCCTGTCTGGAGTGAATTTTAATTGTCAAGCTGGTTCTTTTTCAAAATAACTCTGCATATATGTCGTTGCAGATCTTTTTTTTCAAACATTTATTCAGAGTTTCTCAAACTTTTTTCTAATAAACATTTGAAGTTAGTTTCTAGAGGAAATCAAAGGGAAACAATAAATGTTCCTATATTATCTGAGTTGTCTGTATTATTCGAAATATAACTCGATTTGTCCTAGTAAATTTCATTAAGAAATACAAAAAATAATGTTACTACATATTATATCGGTACTGAATGAAAAAAAAGAAAAATGAGAGAAAAAATACGATTTTTTATGATCCTCAAAAATTCTTCTCTTCTCGCTGTAGACAATCTTCCTACACATTCTCACTCGAAGATTTTTTATCTGAAGAAATTTCGAAGGTTCATCAAAGATCGCAATATTTCGTCTTTGTTCCATATGAATAAAACAAATCTTTCTTTGAAGTCTTAACGATATTTTACAAATTTCACTGTTTTTCCTATGAAATAAATGAGTATTTTTATTCAAAATCAGCTCAATAGATTTTATTTATTTTATCAAATAAACAATTTTTTTCTTTTATACAAACTATTCTTTGTTTACAATTATAAAAATAATAACATATCATATCTCTCATTAACAATTACATATATCAAATATTATAGATTCCCTTCAACTATACAATATTACTCTCAATGATTAAATATTATGACAATTATCCCAAGAACAAACCACCAATCAAATGTTTCTTTATGATAAAATTCATTTTTGACATAAAAAACAAAGAAAAATTAGCTGTTAAAATATCACATTATGTTTGTCCTATTTTTCTTGAGTCATACGTACCAACATATGAAATATGAATACGAAGTGAAACTATAGAATAGTTTGTATTAAAACTATACCTACAAAGATATGAATAGATTTTATTTCGATAAAAACTGTTTCATTAATGGAATATTTTTTAAGACATGAAATGAAACATCAAAGTCCTTTCTACGACTCCATTAAAGACATAAATTTTTCTGTCTTTATTATTTAGTCTCAACAAAAAGGCGAGTATTGCTTGCCTTAGACAATTGACACATGGCTCTGTGTAATCTGAACATTTCATTTTCTTAGACACATTCTTTTACACATTGATTTAATTAATCTTTCTCAACCATTTTTATTTTCTTCCGTTTCTTATATTGAAATATCTTTATTAACTTCTTTTATTTATCTATTCACAACTTTTCATTTCATTCAACTTACCAAAAGAATCTTTCATTAGTAAAAATTTTTGAATTCGATGATTTAATTGATCAGTAACAAATATGTTTCCAGAATGATCGAAACTAAAACTGAATGGAAAATTCAATTGATTGGATTGTGAACCCTCTCCATAACATCCAACTAAACATCGAAAACCATTCAAGCCTGAACCAACAATGCGATCATTGCTAGTATCCACAATGAATAAATATTTCTCAGCATCTAAGACAATTCCAGTTGGAGAAAAAAGTGTAATTGTTAGATTTAATGATGTATCTCCAGCCACTGTGATACCATTTGATTCTCCTGAATAGAACAATTGAACTCGATCATTGTAACAATCTGCTACATATAGATCCAAATTTACATCGAC